CTGTTGTTCATATTTTATTGAACCGACATTTTGATAATGGAAGACATTTTTTTTTCAAGGACTGTTTCTCAGGAACATCTACTCTTAAAGACATCTTCTCAAGAATGAAAAATCGAAGACATTTCGTAAAAGATACTCTAGACTGTTACCATGTCATCAATGGAAGTACCCTTCTCTTCTCTAGCCTTTCGAATGTATTAGATCATTTATCAGTAGAACGCAGAGGGATTCCAGTTACTTGCGCATTCAGTGTTATTTCAAGTGAGACAAAATAATAAATGCCATGGAGCATATCACATCCAAGTCGTAATTGATATCACATGAAAGTAAGAAATTTGGAAAAATGGCTGAAATCTCGAACAGCTATTTATCATAATTGTGAAAAAGACAGGTAGTGGTGAAATTTCTTTCCGCAACTGTTGCATCATGACTCTTTCAAACTGATAGAAAATAAACGAAAACATTGAGAATTAGATTCAGAAGCGAAACCATTTCTATTAGATCAGTAGCATCACAATTATGTCGATTGTCTCGCGAGTAAAGAGTGTTTTTCATCACTCGCATTATTCATCCTCTCAGTATAATGTATGAAGGCTACGATCGGTATGAGATTGTCCGTTGAAGGCTGTTGTGTAGTGACTAGATTCGTCAGAAAGTCATTGCAAGTGATTGCACATCGATTGTATAAACAAGGATACTCATATATATGGCATTAATAAGTTCCTCCTCGTTTTAGGATGAGCCACTGTGAGTTCTTGCAACTCATTCATCTAACGAAAGCTTCTGGAATGTTATTGGGCGAAAAAGTGAGTCAGACGAACTCGTATGAATCCAGGAAATTTTTGTGTGACGTACTGAAAAATAACTTAGCATTTGAAATTGGATTCTGGTATGAGCTTTGACCACAATTTCCAACAACTTTCGACAAAGTGTTGATTGTTTTTCGGTATAAATGACTGGAATTCGTTCGGCAGACATTGTAACGAAATTTGGTTTTAAGGAAATCGTCGGATCCGAACGGAACCGGCCCAAGATCAATGAAGCATTTAGAAACTGTTGCTGAAAATTAAATGGAATCCTCGATTTCGATAACCAAAACGCCCAGCCTGGAAAGAAATACATTCTTCATACGTCTTGTGTGATGGATATTCACTTGATAGAGATGAATATCAAACTATTAATGTACCTAAAACTTGAATCAATGAACACTTCTACGAATAACTCTACTGGATTTCATTGTTTTCGTTTGATTCTACATGCGATTATATGAAATTATGAAATTACAGTTCATTTAGTGCATACATAGACAAATAAATCGATTGACATCGAGTTCATGAATAGAAAGTGACCATCGGTCCTTAGGACTATCTTTTCGTATTAAAAGTTAAGTTATTGTCTCTTGCTGAATGTAAACAAGAGGCACTCAATCAACATACCTTCTGTACAACCAGCAACATCGCTACAAAATCAAAGCATGTCTTTTGACAAATGGAATCTATGAAAGACAATGCGACATTTAGTTGGAACTTGACAACATTTATTTAATTCAAGAGAAGTAGTAACGGAAAACAAAAGACACGACCTTGTTTATAGTGTGCGTTCGTTCATTATTGACATATTCTCGTCTGTCTCGTTTAGAAAAGAATGGTACTCGTACAATAGACTGACTGTACTTATGTTTCCCGAATTCTATTGTCGCCAAAAGCATTCGGATATAAAGACACCTGATTCAATGCTCGATATCAAACAATTGCCACCAAAAGCAACAAACTCTTTTATGCTAAGAATTCAGTTCTGTTCAGTGTTTTCTCCTCTACTCATAAACATCAGTAAAAAAAATGACACACATTGAGAGCATTCTATTTTACTTAGCTGTGAACCTTATGAAAATTTATCACTTATCGATACATTTGAAAAAACGAAATTTGCGTAGATTCAAGGTCGATTTTTTGTTCAACTGCAATAACATTTCGGTCAAAAGGTGCAGAATCATTATTTGTTGCCATAGCAGCAGTATTACTCTATTTGACTAAAGCCTTGTTTTCATTGTTCAGTAGCTCTCAAGAGTTTTAGCAATTAGATAGAGTCTATGGCGAATCTATTTCTCACACATACATCTGCTTGAAACGTTTGTATCGATAATAGGGACACTATTCTGTGACACCATTGAATAACTATTGTCGAAAATAAAACACTTACGTGCAGCTTCAAATGTTTTGTGCAAAAAAAATCAGACGACGATATTGAATCTTTTTCTTTCTTTCTTTTCTTTGATTTCATGCTGAGGAAAAATGAAATTCTTTATTGAAGCACCTTCCTTCATTTCTCAATTTCAGTACTCATACAACTATTGCAGACATGTTTCTTTCAACATCACTTGCGATTCTGGTGGTATTTTCGTTTATCGTCTATCGCTATTTTAAATATTCTTCTTCCATCATTGAACGTGATGCTACTAAACCACGACGACTTCCAACACAATGGTTAATAGGTTAGTATTCTTTTTCTTATTTTTCTTAAGCAAAATCTTGACGAAAGCATGTAAAGAGCAGCTTTATTGTCTTCTTCTCGTCTTTTGTTTCTCTACGTGTGTCTGTGTGCTCTAATTTCCTAGTAATACAAATATTGAACTCGATCAATGGCATAATGAATGTTTTAGGTATCATCTGGACTGCGGGTCTTGGAGCATTTCATGAGTCAATCGCCAAACTGAAAGTAAAATACGGTGACTTATTTGCAATTCAACTCGGACGTGGCCGTATCACTGTTATTTCCTGCACTGACTACGTTCGCCACATTTTAGCCGATCGAAATACCTATGATATATCTGAAACAACTAATCGTAATTTCAGCTTGGTTTTTCCTACAGCTTTGCTTGCCATCCGAGGTGATAGTTTTAAGCGTCATTCTCGCGTCATGTTGCCAATGTATCGAAAGAGCAAAACATTGCTGTTTTTCGATAAAATCGTGCAATGTATCGATCAGTTCATTGAGAAAGAATTTTTGCATCAAGATCAGCGAATCCACACCAATCTCGTTGTCAAGTGTCAACATGCCCTTTTGAACATCATCACCATCATTGGCTTCGATTATGATTTAGAGAAAGGTTCGTCAAAAGATGGTGACACGCTTCGACAAGCATTTAACGATGTTATCAAGTGTGCCAATCGTTTTGCTCTGATGGCCAGCATTCCATTGTGGATTGCACGATTGCGTTTAGCACTCGATTCGAAATTTCAACGTGCTTTGTGTATTCTCCGTCAGTATGTCATGCATATAATTCATGCAGAACAAAAACGGCAATGTGAACAACAACAACAACGCGTGGCCAAACCCAAAACTCTAATTGCATCGATGGTGGCTGCGGCTGAAAATGACCGATTAGAAACGGGTTCGTCAAAAGCATCGCTAAGTCCCACTGAACTCTTCGATGAAGTATCTTTGTCGATGGTTGCCGGCTTCGAAACAACATCTACAGCACTGTCGTGGTTCTTTTTTTTGATGTCAAAGTATCCAGATGTACAAGCGAAGATCAAAGAAGAACTCTATCGTCATGGCTTAACTTCCGATGCTATACTTACACCCGAAGACTTGGACGAGTTGGTCTACATGGAATGTGTCATGAAAGAAATACTAAGATATGCTCCGATTACTGCTGGAATCGTTCGTCAAGCAACACGGGATGATGTAATCAATGATATTATCGTCAAAAAAGGTGATATTTTTTTAATTGCAACACAGAATATGCACCGAGACCCACGTTATTGGAAGATTGATCCTATGAAATTCCTTCCTGAACGGTTTCTTGACGAAGACAAACATCCAACTCCATACGCCTACATGCCATTCGGTGGTGGTCATCGGGCATGCATCGGTCAGGATTTGGCTTTGTTTGAATTCAAAATTGCTATTACACAGCTTATGCAACGTATTACAATTGAAGATGCTGGCAATGAGGCAAACAATTCTGGTGGATTTATACAACGCATCACTTGCTTTCCAAAACATGTAGCTGTAAGAGTTTATATGGATTCAGACGCGAAGTTGCCGGTGTAAAATCGAAAGATAGTTGAAAATGCGTCTTTTTAACATTCTTTGTACAACGACGAAATTTTTCAAAAATGATATTCCCCCCCAAAAAAACGAATTGTCTAATTTTAACTTCAATGCTCGAAGAATAGCTCTGGTATAGATATCAGTTTTTTCATAATTTCCTTCCACACCCATACCCTTTATTGTCATCGTCTTCAAACACCTATCGCACGAAATCGATTTAAATAACAATTTTTTTCAATCCACTTTCTTCCTCCATTCCGTTATCTCCATTGACTTCGTCAATCTATCAAGAGAATTAGATGTGAATTGCCTAGTTTGATATGTTTCTTGGCTGGTACTGTTCCTTTTATTGATCTTGTCGACCCGGCATTGTATTAGTCATCAAGCTTCGGAAGCAGAAATGACGCTCAATAACATTTTATTTTAACTTTTCATAAATCTCAGGTTCGATTGCCGACGGTTATCAACCCTCTTATACATCCGCCATGTGTTTCCAGTACCAGTAAAGATTCTTAAAAATTCACGCATATACTTTTCATAAGCGCATCGAGTCATCATTGGCGATGGTGATGAATTCCTCTATATAATGTTTCTTAAATCCTAAAGAGCATTGATGATATCTATGAACGCTTCTATATATCCTTTGTAGGTGGTATGCTCTAGTGTGGTGTGTTTAGCTATCCTTTCAGAAAGCGTTTTGAAAACTTTACCGGATGCGTAAAAAATATTTTTCCAGAAGAGTAACACTGTGATTTTAGATAGCACATATAACAAATTTCATATCAAACTAAAGCTCGTCGAAAATAGTTTTTATCAGTGGTAAATAATCAGGATTATGAAAACTTTTCAACGTTGGACTTAAGAATTTTCAAGAAACTTCTGGTGTACAATTGTGATAACCTATCACTAAAGAGCCGTTTGACAAGAATGGAAACTTTTCACATGTATTCGTAGACATATCGTTGTTGTAAGTATGCAACATAATTCAATCCTCAGACTGCAGTTATTCTTTTTCATTCTGTAGCTTTTTCATCATGTTTTTTAGAACAAAGCTCATTTCCATTTACTGCAAAACATTTTCTCGTCGGTACTCACTTTTCTTTTTTGTTCTTTTACATAGTGTTAACGTTATAGAAAAAACATTCCTTTCTCATTTTTTGTCAAAGAATAATGATTCATGACGACGGTTAGTAAATACTGTTTTTCTCATTTCTGCTCTATGTTGAAAATTTGTAGGACAAAAATTTTTAAACACTTGGTAAGACATTATATAAGATCATTTGTTATAGATAGATTCCACAAATAAAAAGAATTTTGCCCATTGATTAATCGATTAAAGTCATCAATTAAAAGTGCCTAGTACTTATAACATCGAACAGCCAAGAATTATCGATAGAGTTAAATATATCTTTTTTCGTGAAGCTCGTGATGCTAATGCAAGATTTATTATTCAACAGTGGATTGTGGAGAAAATTCATCGATCTACTCGATTTGCTATAGAGTAGTAGGAAAAGTGGTATGAAAAATATTTTGCTAATTATTCAGAATGTCGTTGTAAACTTAAATTATCAAAAACCAGCAGAAATTTCATTCGCAGTGCAATTGAGAAACAAAGAAAAAGTTCGTATGTTATAGCTAAAGAAATCACAGAAAAGCAAAATGAATATGTTGTTCCAAAAATGATCGATAACTACTGCTTTAAAGTAAGACTAACGCCATTTCATGTTACTCGAAGACCTTAAAAACAGAAACTTATATTTCTGATCGGCTGTAATTCTGCAATTGTTTAAAAGACTGGACTCAAGAGAACTTTCAACTTTTTGCACTATCAGACGAATTTCATGTCTAGTTTATGTGTACAGATCAAACTATCAATGGAAGTCTACCTAATGTAAGCGTAGCTAAAAATAATGGAACAGCAATCAAAAATGAAGTTGAGAAAAAATACTATCACAGACGGAACGTAATCTTTATCACGAAGAAACACTGGACAAAACACAACTTAGACGCTTTAACAAACATGAAAACTCTCTTATATTTCTATTCGTCATGTCTCTGTGTTGTAAAGGTCACTAATGGTTGTCATACTAATTACTGATTATATCCATCAAACTTTAACAAATAGAAATTACTTTATGATAGCCATCATTTTGAATTAGATCTAGTTTCAATTGCCTCATAAAAGTAATTTTCTACGCTAACAGAGCGTAAAATTCTAGACATTTTTGAACTGCGACACTGGAAAGTTTTCATAGTCCTTACTATTTAGTTACTGATAAATATCATTTTTCCCGTGCTGTATTTGGGTGTAAAATTTGTTATGAGTCCTATTTGACATCACAGCGTTACTCCCTTGGAAAAACACTTCTATGCACCGTTTACTTCAGAGTTGTAACCGGTAGGGTTTTTCCCTTACCGGTACCGGTACCGGTCTAACTGATCAGACTGGACCTGGCCGGCCGGTATACTGGTATAAATTATTCTTCTGTTTTCTGACCCTATATAACACTCAAATCAACATCTAGATGAGTCATATATTCCTTCTAATCACTACAGCTACGATATAAAAGTACTATTTCGCCACTGCAATGGTTTTACTATTTGCTTTCATATGTTTTCTGTTTTTCGATATCTATTGGTGAGCACAAAAGTTCATACGACCATAAATTCTATGTTAACTTTGCACTTTGATTAACTATTCATCAAATATGGGCTCTATTTATTGCTCGTATGCTTAATCTACTTCGTATGCTATACTCGCTTTGTCATCTTTCGTGTCTGTGAGGACTATATCTAACAAATAATAGGAAATATAAATCCATGATAAACTACAATGCTAAACAATTAACCATTTGATTTTATTTGAACAACACTCATGTGGTTCAGGAAACGGCATTTTGTCGGTTAAAACAGTTCTTATTGGCCACAACTACCATTTATCATACCTAAACGTCGTTTCAGAATAGAAAATAGCTGGAAATTGACCTTCGTAAACGCTACGGAAACGTTTTTGTATGCATTCGAGCTTATATACACATAATAACATTTCTGTGCTGTTTACAAAGGTCAATATTCGGCTGTTTCCTTTTCTGAAACGACGTTTAGGTATGATAAACGGTAGTTTTGGCCAATAAAAACTGTTTTAAATGATAAAATATCGTTCCTTGAACTATATTGGCAGAACGTCGTACCTACATGGATTGGATAAATATAAAAACATCCATGACAAATTTTGACTCGATAGGATAATTTGATACAATTTTTTTTACCAAAATAGTCTTCGACATTAGTAGAAAGTTTTTGATGTTCGAAGAAAACCACCTTTTTGATCACTTTTTCGGAAAAAATAGGGAAAAATTCAAAAAAAACTCAGATCGGGCCGGTAAAGAAAAGTTGGTTCTACCGGCCGATAAGGAATCTTCTACTGGACCGGTAGATCGGCCGGTCTGGTTACAACTCTGGTTTACTTGTTGGTAGTTTCATTATCCTTCTCATTTGACAACTCTACTATTCGAGTTGCCGTAATCTTATTGCTTTTGTGTTGCAACACCAAGAAAACCTCATTTATTGTCTTCCTTCCTATGCTTCGGCTTTTTACCTCTTAGTAGATACTGGTTCTTTTTTGTATTTTCTGCTGCATTCAGACGCAATCACTGCATTTATCTCCGGTAGATACAAGTTCATGGTTCGGAGACAAGTAATTATTCGAAGTGACACGGCACCGCCTATTGAGAATGAAGCTAAGCTTTATGTGGAACTGCGGTACACTTGATTGGCAGATATACCAGCAAAGATAATCACGAAGGCAGTGGTGTCAAGAGTGAACAAATTTCCAGTGGCATACGCGCTGCAATATATCGGAAATGATGTTGCTGATGCCAGAAAAGATCACATGTACTCAATGTATGCTAGTATCAAGAGTGTCTATGACAAGATTTAACTCTTCACAGACGATATGAGAACTCATGTCAAATCTTTTGGAAATGATTGTACGAAGAGCATCGATATTTCCATCATGGTTGTACAGAGTGAAAAATTGATCTACATTTCACTTATTTTAGTTGATAAACGGTTATTTAGTAAATCAAATCGATATCGACAAAAAAAACCTATTTCATATTCGATATTAAATATTTTAAATCGACTCGACAGATGATTGATCTTCATTTTGACAGTATCTTCTTGTATGTTCGCAAACTTTTCTCGTCTATTCAATGTGGTATACTCTGTGTACGTTGCGGTAGATGATGATTATCAGTGATAGAAATTCTTAACTACTGGAATAAGTTTCTGATCGAAACCGTCCAAAATATCAGCTACAAAATCTTATTGATTTCAGTTAATTAATAAATCTTTCTTATTAATCACAGATTGAATCTAATGGCAAAAACTAGTACAACAACTATTGAATTTCGGAGTGCGTTCCAAATGTTGTAGGGAAGAATAAAGATCAAAGGTTTTCTGGTGTCGTTGGGATGAATATTAATGAACTGATCAAGATCACCAAGGCAAAGACGAATTTGACAAATGCATAAAATCGATCATATTGGGTACAGGTCAACGTATTCAATTAAAAAAAATAACCGTTTATCGAGTCTAATATGAAATCATGCACATTGAATCAGAAGTTGACATGAAAAACTTTTGTTCTAAACTATCTTGAGAGAATTCAGTACGTTGGCAAGATTACTGAACTTCCAGTCGAATTGATCGAAGACAGTAGCATGTAGTAGAGTTTGACATTGGTCATAAACTAAAACAATATCTTTCTTCGGAAAATCGTTTCTTTCTTGTCGTCCAATTTAAAAAAAACTTACCTTGAAAGTGGAATTGTCGACCGATCATTATTCTTTGACCTGTTTTCAGTTCAACGATTGATCAAACTCTCACTTTACCTCGAGATATCTATCAAGCTAAATGAGTACAACAGATGCTTCTATTCTCGATCAATATCAATCACGTACCATGCATTGAATCCCCAAAGCTACAGAAGTGAGAAA